AGCTTTCAGGACGAGGCACCCAAACTTCTGAATAATGTTCTTTCGGCAAAATTTTTCGAGCTGTGAAAACTAAAACCTCTTCTTTTTTGTTTTTTTTTTTATTTATTCTAGGCGCTGGTGTATCGTGATGGAAACCTTGTTTCTGGGTCGCTGGAGGCTTTGGTGCAACACATGGTACCTACCGAAGAGTATTATCCTGATAGAGCATATCTTTTTGCTTTTCTACTGAGCTCACGTCTATTTATTAAGCCTCATGAATTACTCAGCGAGGTATGCGCTTTGTGTGAACATCAACAAAAACTCGGGGGAGAGGGTGGAAAGGTAAGTGTCTATAAAATGCTTTAATCTAAGTTTAATAGTAGAATGAATAAACTGAAATTCATATAGTTCATGGGTCCATTCAACTCGCATCAAAATAATATGCTTCCTTATTGGAAAAAAATGTGATCAATCAGTATTATATCTCTCCCTCCATTTTTTTTTTTGAAAAAAAATACTAAAAAACTAAAGCAAATGTTAATATTTTTATCCATAACTTGTATGAATTGACTATGATTGTGTCTCAAACATATTTTTTTTTCAGTCATAAGACTATGAGGCAGGTTTTGAGGAAACTCATTAAAAGATATTATTAATTTTCTTTGTACCACTAGGATACCCTTTCGGGTTTTTAAGAGTCCCATTTCTCTCGCCCTTCCCCCGTCCCGAAATTCACCCATGTACCAAGGAAAAATCTCATCCGAAGGGAAACGTACAGTCGTCTCTTTTACGAGCCTCTTGCTCGACAATAAAATGAGAAATTGAAAACGCCAGAGATTGTTCCCACCCCGGCTATTGCCGTTGGTTAAAAAATATGATTATTAGATTAATAAATTCTGTATGAGAAGCCGGTGAGATAGATTATTTCAATATTACCCACATGGAAAAAAATACAATCCAAGAATTATGACTGAGATATAGTTTTCTTCGCCAAAATTACATCTTAAATATATCCACTTTATGTTTTGCAATTTCTCGAAATATATGTGACATGTTTCTGGATATATATTTTTTTCATATGAGTTGTAATATTTCAGAAGAGGATAAATAATATTTTCTCAACTCACATAAA